CCCACACAAATATTGTCCTAAGCAATGTAAACCACAGGTGTTTCCGATTCCTAGGGCAGCTACACAGTGCCACAAAGTCAGCTGGCTTAGAAAGGAAAACGTCATCTTATAGCTCCCAAGGACAGAGTCCAGGATCATCACAGAGTCGGCAGGGGGCTCCTGCTTAGGGTCGGCCTGTTCTGTGGGCGTCTTCTAGCTCCTGGGGGTTTGCCGGCAATGTTCTGGATTACTTGGATCCCTGATCTCTGTGCCCAAACATGTCTTCATTTCCCTTTTATAAAGATGCACTCACACTGGGCTGGGGGATCACCATGTCCAGTGTAGCCTCATCTTCAGAAATGACATCTGCACTAGGGTATGCTCTCGGTTATAACTTCAACATGGGAGTTTGGGACTCCGGGCAACCAGGAACATTTGCTTTGGGGAATATGAAAGCTTATGCTTTTCATACCATATGATATATATTGTGGGCGTTGGTTATTTTGGAGAGGCAGCCCCAGTTCCTCAGCCCCACCTCCCGGACATGCATGTACTAGGTTTGAGGGAAATCCAGTTTGCCAGCCCCTGGGCCCAGGCTCTTTCAAAGGCCTGGAAGCATCCCACGGTGGAGGCTTTGGGGCCAGATGGGATGGCTCCAGTTCTGATCTTTGAAAAGGTAATTCCCCCTCCCAGCCCCCAGCAGCCTCCGTTTCCCTGTTTGACTTGGTTGGCATGTAGCACCTTATAAATAAATAAGCACCGTCCCCATCCAAGCCTGGAGTGTCGCTTGGGCTCCCAGCCAGCGTCATTCATGAAAAGTGCACAGCATTCTTCTTGCCTCTGTATCAGATCATTTGGATCAGCTGTTGCTGGAACATTGGCTGGGGAACTGGTATAGAAAACACAGGACCTACTATCTCACCCCTGGAATCAGGGAAGTAACAACCTCCGTGCCGATACCTAAACTCTGGCCACTCCGGGAGCCACCTGCTGGGAGCACACGTATTCTTCCCTTGTAGAGCTCAGAGATGCTTGCCGTGGAAATCCTTGCACCAACCCCCTATTGACAATTAGCATGGAATTCCAGATTCTCTGCATTTAGAAACACCTCCACCCACAGACGGGAGGACCAGTCAAGGAGAATCAAAGTGCCTGAGCAAGTCCCAAGCTGAATTGGCCTTGGGTGTGGAAGACCAAGTTCTCTGTAACTGGAGACAGAGCTGTGCTGGTAGCCGGTCCCCAGGGTCCTGGAGCACAAGCTGTGCTGGCCTCCTGGAGAGGGGCTGGCTTCCTAAGTTCCTGTTGGTTTGTAACGTTTCTGTGGCCAGGCAGTAGGGAGGCAGTGTTGGGACACTGGGATGTATAGACTGTCACAGTGTCAGTTCTGGGCAAGACCTTGTAAGCTTCATTCCCTAATTTGTCAGTGCTGTAGAAATAACTGGCGTCCCGTAGGCAGAGTTGGCATTGAGAGAGAGACTGTTTCGTTTTCTTCAGATAGTCACTGTGTCTATTCTGGAATGTTCATGAACGAAGGATGTTTTCAGAAGAAGAGGGGAGAAAAGAAATGCCTCATGTTGAAGAGTTCGTTTTGGCGTTGTTTTTGGTGTTTATATCAAACCCTGATGTTTTGGTTAGGCCAACATTTGTTTGTTTTTTAACTTTGCTTTCAATTGGCTTTCAGTTATCTTCATTTGAAGTTTTTTATTTTATTTTTTTTCTTTTCTTTCTTTCTTTATATATTTTTAATTGAAACAGTATCTCACTTTGTGGCCCTCAGTTAGAGGGCCATGGCATCACAGCTCACAGCAACCTCCACCTCTTGGGCTTAAGCAATTCTCTTACCTCAGCCTCCCAAGTAGCTGGGACAGCAGGCACCTGCCACAACAGCCAGCTTTATTTGTAGAGACACGGTCTCACTGTGGCTCAGGCTAGTCTCGAACCTCTAACCTCAGGGCAATCCACCCACCTTGCCCTCTCAAGAGTGCTAGGATTACAGGCGTGAGCCACCACGCCCAACCTAGGCCAACATTTATTGAGCCCCCACATGCAAAGAGCACCTTCTCCTCAGCTCTTCCTGGCTCCCTTCTGTCTTAAAAAAAAAAAAAAGGAAAGCATTTCACTGGTTACTTCCTCTAGCACCTGTGCTCTGGCTGCTAACATACAGCACCAGCAAACTAACATCAGAGGAGCCTGCATCCCAGGACACGAGCTTTCCTTAGCTCCTCTGGGCCTGGCTCTCTCCACCAGTAGTTACCAGTAAGTTCTGCATTGCTGGTGGCTTGTTGGGGACGGCCCTTCACAGAGAGGATGCCTGGGGTCTCGCCGAAGAGCTGAATGGATGAATGGATTTGCTAGTGTCTCCCAAAAGCAGCTGGAGTGTCTCATCAGGTCCCCGCTCAGGCAGAGCTCTGTGATTGATGGGTGGAAGGATGGTGTCACGCGTGGCTGGAGAAGTGTCACAGTCTATTCTGCAGAGGACATTCTCTACAGCAGTTTAATGATGGCATGACTCTTCTCTCATGGGCCGCAGCTGACAACCTCAGAGAAGACAGCTAAGACCTTTCCTTGGTAGATAGTCAGTAAAATCCACCCTTTTTAGAGAGCAGGTTTGTGGGGTTTACTAAATGCCTGTAGTCATGTTGTCAGCATGTAGAACGGCTCTGTCTCCCTGAGAATTCCTTGTACCCATTTGGAGTTGGCCCCTGGCAGCCACCATTCTGTTTTCTGTCCCTAGAGTTCTTTTGCAAGAACGTCTTAGAAGTGACATCCTCTAGTGTGTGGTTGGGAACATGACATGTTCGAGATTCAGTCACACCGTTTGTTCTTTCTTGCTGAGTAATTCTCCTTTCCGACGGCTGTCTTGGTGGATGGCTGATCTGTCCTCCTGTTGGGGAATATTTGGGTTATTTCCAGGTTTGGGTGTTTCCAACTTCAAGCTACTGGCAACATTTGCATACAGGTTTTTATGTTAACATAGATTTTCATTTCTCTTGGGTTAATACCCAGGAGCAGAATTGCTGGCTGTGTGGTCAGTCACTCAGAAGGCACGGGCTTCCTTTCTGTGTCAGGTGGCAGCTTAAACATTGGTGGTTTTGTCCATTAAGAATCGCAAAGCAGGGCTCGGTGCCTGTGG